GCACCACAGCGCACCAGCACCACAGCGCACCAGCACCACAGCGCACCAGCACCACAGCGCACCAGCACCACAGCACAGCAGGACCACGGCACAGTAGCAAGGCTCCACACAGCTCCTCCTGTGTAGGCCTGTATGTATTATATATATGGCCGCCATTGTCCCTATATCATTTTAATACAATTAATTATGGCCATATATCCAACATATCCTGCACCAAACTGCCCCGAAATACTTCTCGTCTCGGTGGTGGCAACGCAAGGAACAAACGCGACCGCTGCCATCATGCGAGTTTGAAGCAAACCTCAATTTATGACATTCTTCTATCCTTTAGCTTTCCCTCTCTCGCCTTCCCTCCTCTCCTGTCCCACCCCTCCTCCGTCCCTCCCCCAACCCCTCTCCACAATCCTAGAAACGGGTTAACTTTAGACAGTTCGCTCCCCCCCAACTCGGACCCCCAACCCCCTCCCCTTTACCTCAATATCCACAAGGAACCCAAACTAGGGGCTACCAGGCTATGGATTCTCCGAATACAGAGACTTTGAAAACACCTTCAACGAAGTTCTGCAGCCATCTTAATTTCAGGCTCCGTCTTTCCGTATAGAAATTGAGTTTGCCGAAGTGAAAAAAAAGATTTTGGATGGCATTTTTCAAAAATTAATTTTTTTTGCAAATTATTGTGCCGTTGCTTTTAAAAGTACAATAATTATTGTGAACGAGGAAAACTGTTTGTCAAAAATATCTTTAGTAGACCAAGTCATCAAACTTTTTGGTAGCACTAAGTAGAAACCAGGATTGAAAGTTCTAGCGACATTGTGGGCTTTGTTAGCTGCTGATCTCTCGACACTCCCACTTCTTTGCAGAATCGCTTATCTATTCATAAAAAAGAAGGAAATGGTTCATTAAAACTCGAGACCAAACTCCACTCACACTCAATGGATGGCAACACTAGTCAACAAATGCCAGTTGTCCCATGACAAAAATGTAACAAAATTTCTGTGGTTGAAAAATATCAATAAAGCGTTATATTTAAAAAATAGTGAGATTTAATTTAATAATAGAGACCTTTGGCAACTCATTTCATAGTTGGCCTTAACGCTGCAAGGGGGGAGTTGCCTAGCATATTTTTGTCCAAAAAATTATCTAAATAAATTTCGAAAGGCGCCAGAGTGTTCGTGTGCGTGGTGAGAGAGGGATGTGAGACGCTCCGTTGCCGGTCGTGCCAGTCTCGCTTGTGTTGCTTACATTTGGCTTCTGCTGCTCAAAAGTTCATTGTATTTTAATGAGTTCGAGTGACCAGTGAGTCATTATTGTGATTTAGAATTTACTGATTTATTTGGGATTTATATCAGCGTGCCAGTGTTTATTTTCATGGAATTAGGCAAGAATTTAAGTTGTGCTACTAAGTTAGGTTGAGGATAAGGTGCAAGATCGACATGAGTGATACTCGGCAAAATATGGCACAGTGTACGTTGATATGAGTGCCGTTATTGAGCTCCATGATTCTTCTGCACCAGCGTCCAACGTTATTTATGTCTCCTAAGGTAACCAATTCGCTCAGATTCATTATCTGATTAAAAAATTAGAACAAACTTTTCCCTCACATGCTCTTCTGTCCATGTCGTTAATCTTCACGAATCACGAGCTCCGTCCCTTTTTCATGGTCAATCGTGACGGCAAAATTGTATCACCGTAAATAGTAAATTTATTAAATAAGCCTCAAAAAGTAAAATATCAGGCAAAATTCGATTCATAAAATTGTACTGACGGATAATGGACGATTCGCCACTAGGTTACAGCGAGTCAGGCAAGCGACTGTTAGACCGCAACTAGCTTTTTTTAAGGTCGGTGTGTAACTAGCGTAGTTAGTAGTTACAGTCGAAATAAAAGCAGCTGCGGTTTAACTGTAACTAGCTTAGTTGCGGTCTAACTGTAACTAGCTCACCTTAGTTACCTAGTTGCGGTCTAACTGTAACTAGCTTAGGTAGTTGAGGTCTAACTGTAACTAGCTTAGTTGCGGTCTAACTGTAACTAGGGTAGTTACAGGCTTAACGCCTCACATTAGGCTAACTACCTAGAGTAGTTGCGGTTCAACTGTAACTAGCGTAGTTACAGTCTAACTGTAACTAGCGTAAACAGCGCTCGCCGCTCGTTCATGAGGCATGGTGTGCCTGTAGAATTTGTTGTTGTCGTTGGCGGCGTTGCTGTGTTGGTGCCGCACCTGTTGAGCTATGTTTGTGTTGATGCTCTTGTTGTCTGTGTTTGTATTATTATAGTTTTTATTATCAATAGTGGGGTTGATGATGATTGTGCTGCTGTTTGAGTTGATGTTTGTGCTGCACTGCTGCTGTATGAGTTATGATGTTCGTTGTTTAGGTGTTTATGCTGCAGCAGATTCTATGGTTTTTAGTAGTGCGTGTTCAAACCTTTGTGTACGGACGCTACGTCTCTACCGCTAGGTAGGAATACCATTGCCAGCGGTTAGTGTATACTAGCCATGGGCTCAAACTCTTACTGCTGTTGTTCTTTTGTTCACACTCTGAACAACGAAGCAAATTATTAAAAATAAATCCTTGGAATTTCGGCCACCGCTCCGGAAAAATCCTGAGCAGAATTTTTTTCGTTTTTAATTCTGGTAAAAAGCGGCTTGGTGTGCGCAGCGTAGAGGAAAATCGTCCCTAGGTCGCCGGTTTAAAGGCTGAGAATCGCGTGCCGGTGTTCAGCAGGTCACCCACTAACACACTTTCCTCAAACATAATAAATGCTCAGTATTTACTGCCTAACTTGTTACGATGGTCGTAAGTTACGACGGTCGTAAGTTACGATCATCGTAAATTAACAACATGGTCGTATATTATTAACATTATGGAATGAATTATTTTCTTGGTCGTACATTCTTATCGGGGTCGTTAATTGTTATCGCGCGTAAATTATTATTGTGATCATTCATTACTATCGTGGTCGTAAAAACCAACCGTGGTCATAATTGCAACCGTTATCGTAAACTACAACCGTTGTCGTAAATTACACCCGTTGTCGTGAACTACAACCGTTGTTGTAAACTACGGTACAGCCGTTATCGTAAACTACAACCGTTATCGTAAACTACAACCGTTGCCGTAAACTACGACCGTTGTTGTAAACTACAACCTTTGTCGTAAACTAAAACCGTTGCCGTAACTACAACCGTTGTTGTAAACTACAACCTTTGTCGTAAACTACAACCGTTGTCGTAAACTACAACCGTTATCGTAAACTACAACCGTTGTCGTAAACTACAACCGTTGTCGTAAACTACAACCGTTGTCGTAAACTACAACCGTTGTCGTAAACTACTACCGTGGTCGTAAATTATAACCGTAGTCGTAAATTACAACAGTAGTTGCAAATGACTGCCGGGTCGTAAATTACAACCGTAGTCACAGTTAACAACCGTGTATAGTGGCAAATTACAACCGTTTTCGTAAATAACTACCATGGTCGTAAATTACAACCATGGTCGTAAATTACAACCATGGTCTTGAATTACAATCGTGATCTTGTATTATCATCGTGGTAGATAATGGCTATCATGATCGTTACTATGGTGCTCGTATAATATTATTAGCAATAAATGTTCGTGTTGTAAGCCTACGTAAGGCGCGCTAGGCCTACAGGCCGGACGAGCGCTGGTGGGGAAGCCGTGGCTTGATTTTACCGCTGCTGGGCACTGGTGGGTTGACGCTGCCCTCTGTAGTGGGCAACACGTTGGCAATGATGCCACATGCCAATATTTGTCAGCCATGCCACAGTTTACCACTCATGCCACAGTTTACCACTCATGCCACAGTATACCACTGGCACTCACGCCACAGTTTACCACTCATGCCACAGTTTGCTGCTGTGTAGGCAACAGCAATGTCAACAATTGTGGTCCGCTCGTTTGTGTAGGCAACAGCAATGTCAACAGTTGTGGTCCGCTCGTTTGTGTAAGCAACAGCAATGTCGACAGTTGTGGTCCCCTCATTTGTGCAGGCAACAACAATGTCAACAGTTGTGGTCCACGCTGTTGTGCAGGCAACAGCAATGTCAACAGTTGTGGTCCACGCTGTTGTGTAGGCAACAGCAATGTCTACAGTTGTGGTCCACGCTGTTGTGTAGGCAACAGCAATGTCAACAGTTGTGGTCCACGCTGTTGTGTAGGCAACAGCAATGTCTACAGTTGTGGTCCACGCTGTTGTGTAGGCAACAGCAATGTCAACAGTTGTGGTCCACGCTGTTGTGTAGGCAACAGCAATGTCTACAGTTGTGGTCCACGCTGTTGTGTAGGCAACAGCAATGTCAACAGTTGTGGTCCACGCTGTTGTGTNTAGCGTGCAGCTAACGTGTTGCTAACTCGTCTCTAGTTGCTAACTCGTGTTGCTAACTCGTAATGTGTTAGAAACGTAACACGTTGCTGACACATTCTACCCTCCATAACTCGGTGCCGTAACACTGATTGTGAGCTGTGGCTGGCCGCCGATAAGGCGCCCATGTGCCTCACAAAGCTCGCTGAACATCACAGATGTTGCTGCTGTACTCAAGTGTGCAGATGACCGAGCTGCTTGCCGACTACCAGGTGTTTAGCGCCTTATTTATTGATTTATGTTTTGTACATAATGTTTTTGGTAGAAAAGTGATTCGTTTGCATCAAGCTTTTAGTTCTGAAGGAATTGTTTGTCAACCGTTGTAGTATTTATATCATTATTCGGAATTACGAACTCTGTGACGAATGAGATGTGCCAAACTTTATTCTACCCGCACACCAGCGAACATAGAGAGGATGTCGAACACTGGAGCAAGGGGTGAATATATTAATATTGTCAGCCTTTTCTCTTGTTTCACAGTATGTTTCTGCACATACATGCAGGACAGCCATATTGCCCTTACTGTACGGTAAGGGTTAAGTCAACCCACTAACGCCCGATTTGTGAGGTACAATCAACCCACCGCTTTTTAACCCCGCACTCGTCCGGCCCGTAGGCCTATCCCGCCCGAAATAGGCTTACGGCCGCCGTTTTCCGAACGTATTTTGAAAATCAAACATCCTTTGACGCGGCCTGCGCTAACTCTGCTCGCCCGTCGACGGTGGTCAGCAAGCAGCGACGTTTTTACGACCTAACGCAGCGACGTTTTTACGACCTAACGCAGCGNACGTCACCCTACGCACGTTTGTAAACACTACGTCACCCTACGCACGTTTGTAAACACTACGTCACTCTACGCACGTTTGTAAACACTACGCCACCCTACGCACGTTTGTAAACACTACGCCACCCTACGCACGTTTGTAAACACTACGTCACCCTACGCACGTTTGTACACGTTACGTCACTCTACGCACGTTTGTAAACACTACGTCACTCTACGCACGTTTGTAAACACTACGTCACTCTAGGCACGTTTGTACACGTCAGTCCCGCGTTTTCGGGCAATTTCGTCCTCTGGCTAAGCTAGCTGAACTTTGTGACCTGGTTACCCTATTTAACCTGGCACCAAAAGCGTGTTACCTTCCCACAAATGGCAACATCATTAGCTAAATATCAACACCAGGGATAGAACACTTCTCCATCATTATCACAATAAAATATATTAGTTGTCATTTTTGGCCATTTAGGGTAATTTATATCCATTTTAATATTCGCAAATTACCCCAGGGGACATTTACTCTACTTCGGGAAGCAGTGTCTTGGGTTTTGAAAAAAATTCGTGGTGATAACCCAGCCAAGATTGGGGCTTATTGCCTGGCTGATAAGCTATCACTGATCTCGCGCGATACCTTATCAGAGAGATAGGGGAGGGCTTGCGCCCCCCGCTGCTCCTATCGCCTTCCTGGCCCCCAGACTTCTTGGCCCGGCCGTGATGGGCCACGCTAGGCCACAGTCTTCCGGTCACTGGGTCTTAGCCATGGCCCTCGTGCTGCCTTCTATAGGACTGACGGTACATGCCCGGCACGGTCACGGCATGACCGTCCTTACGTGCATACTACTGTCCGCTACACTAGCCACTGTACGCTGCACTGCACGCCTGTCACGCTACAGTGGCCACTGTACCCTGCACTGCCCGTATGTTACGCTACATTGGCCACTGTACCCTGCACTGTAAGCTGCACTGCATGCCTGCCATGCCACAGTGGCAATTGGGCACTGGATGGGGCAGTGGGCATCGGCATCCCCGGCTGAGAAGTCTCCCGCAGTGTCCTTGCAGGGTGGGCAGCATAGGCCGAGTTACGCACATGTGGGCAGAATCAAGTATCAAGACACTGCCTCGCGAGGCGGTAGACTCGTGTCTCGCTGTCTTGTGAGAGGACGAACCTTGACGCTTAGCGAGTACTACCTGTTGATGCTGGTCAAATGATGATCTTCGTTACCCCATATCAAGCATATCTATAGATTAAATTATATTTGTGTTCAGCATTTCTTCGCAACCTTCACTCATATTTTTATTTATCATATTGCCAAAATGGTGATACACTTTCTTGCCCACAGCAGTAGAAGAGAGAGAACGTACACTTGTGCCCGAAATT